TTGATACGGCAGACAACCCACCAACTGTCGGGACTTCTCTAGCCCACCACTGGTACCTTGTACAACAAACACAGGGCAGTGCAATATGTGCCCCCTACATGAATTGATATCGCACGCTATAATTCGCGTAGCAACGACAGTTCGTTCCACCGCTCCGCGACTCAACGCATGCTTCCCTATCTGAACATGAAAAAATGACGAACACATCAAAAATCCTAAGCTCCGCGGAATACGCATGCCTAAGGCTCGACATATGTTGACTGAACACGTACACAACCACAGGAGGATCGATGTGAGGAAGCCGACAGGAGAGCAGGCAATAAGTGACANACTGAACACGTACACAACCACAGGAGGATCGATGTGAGGAAGCCGACAGGAGAGCAGGCAATAAGTGACAGGGGTTGCTTGCCTTCATCCAGAATTTAAACACTTAAAATTATATTTAACAATGGGATTCATATTCGCAGCTCAGATATCTGGCCACACTCGGTCCCCGCAGTGGTCGTGCATCGTCTGCAATCCGCATAGCGCGGAAGCAGATGAGAGGCAACTTCCACCTTAAACGCTACCGTCTGAGTGGCATAAATCATCTTCGCTGCAATAGAAGTATATTATTTGTTGCAGTCTTCAGGATTAAGAAGACTGAAGAGTATCGCCACTTCGCCAGGGAGCGTACTGCAACAGCGAGAGGCAGTGGGGTGCGGGGAGAAAGGCATGCAGCAGGACCACACAAGCCCCGCCCCGGAGCCCCACTGCAAAAATACATCGAAGCACTCGATAAGAAATCAATAAAACCAAGGGTAGAGACTTCTTCAGAGCAGTACAAGTAAGGAATGATGGGCGAAATTCAGTACACATGAGGGGTGTATATGCAGTGTTCGATACATTAGCCGACGCAGGTGATGTGGGGCCACACGGCTGACTGTTCCTTAAGTAAAAGTAGCAAACTTTATTATTTTTTCAGAATATTTAGTGGAGAAAATGGGTTTTTAGCTCTTTCCAATTCAACGGTCTCGACGTTTATACTNTTTTCAGAATATTTAGTGGAGAAAATGGGTTTTTAGCTCTTTCCAATTCAACGGTCTCGACGTTTATACTTACTTCGCACAGCCATGCTATGCTCGGTGTAGTATAGCTTGTGTAGAGCTGATCGTCGTAATTGCCGAGGCGAGCAGGTTGGCTCCTGAGGGCCAAGTAGGCGCTCGAGAATTGTTGGTAGTGTTAGTCTACGCAGAAAATGGGCTTCGCTGCTTACCCACGTGGGGTTTCCCTGCAGCATGACATGCAATCGGGCTGCGTTGCGACTCGTTGTGCCGGCTCCTTTCCCGCGGCCCGAGTTCTGAGTGCCGCCGTTCCCTTGCTATCTGGGGAATGGAATAGATGTCAGCTGCTTTTTGAAAACTCCAATCCGAAGTTTTTGAAATCATCGTTGTTCTTCGATAAGACGCCTCTGATGCAAACGGCTCGGCTCGTCCGCGTTTTGCGAGTAGATTCACAATGAGATAAACAATGAGAACACAAACGTGAAGGACCTGTGTTTGTATTGCGTAGAGGTTTATTGCATACTGGAACTTCGGTGCATTAGGAACACTCAAGGTAGAGCGGAAAGTCGAGAAACTTCCGAGGAACACAGCAGACATCGCAAAAAGTGCATATTCATAAGCTCTAGAGATGATTGTGTAGATTTCCTGTGCTTCCTTCGCCTGTCTTTGGGGTTTCCTGTTCTTAGGCCCATAATTGTTTGTATTTTCATTTTGCTGCCCTGTTCCCCTGCTAAGCATCTAGCGTGCATTGCTGCAGCAGCATGAGTGCGGTTTCTGCAGTTGGTTTGCCTGTCTGCTTCTTTTCGGCTTGCTGTGGTTTTACGGTGCATACCGTAGAGGGCCATCCTGAGCTCGCAGCACAAAGCTTTAATAATGATTTCTCTAGAGATTACTGCCTCATTCCCTGAATGAGGCCGAGTTCGTGAATTCGTAGCTCGCTGCTAACTACGAAAACGCTAGTGGCACACTTCAGGAACATCATGTTTTTGCATATATTTGGTTCCTTAGGCTCCCTTCTGAGCAGCGTCTGTCGGGGTGTTGAAGACACTCCTCAAAAGTGTGCAGACCTGCACAGGTTTGTTCGGTAGTTTATGCGGCTTCTGCTGGACGCTGCGGTGCTTGTTTGGAGGGATGGCACGCAGAACCCGTGTCTGGGTATAATTTTCTGGGATTCTCCCTGTGCTACTATCTGCACCTTCTATCCTGTTCCTAGAAGTTTCTGGAGGCTCGCACGTAACGTTGAGTCCCGCTTGTACTCTGCCATTGGAAGATTCTGACGTGAGCTCTNTTCTGGAGGCTCGCACGTAACGTTGAGTCCCGCTTGTACTCTGCCATTGGAAGATTCTGACGTGAGCTCTCAAGCAGGGCGACGTTGTCTCTCCAAGCTCACCGCTTAGCTGCAGATCCGCGCTTGCGTTTCTGAGTATGGCTTTCGACGGCTTCAGCGAAATGCGCCGCTTGGTATGCGCTGATGCCACCCGCAGTGAGACCTGTGTTCTTATCTCAGAAGTTGAACGTGAAAATGAAACCAGGTCAACAAACCTGTACGACAGGAGTACAGCAGCGGGTTGTACAACTCCAGAACCCCCAGTGGCTCTAGGGCTGCTCGAGCAGATTCGTAGGACATATTTGCTTCGACTTCCGACGCCGGACGCAGTTGACTCGGCAACGGGTATATGAAATATTCGCGTGGGAGTAGACCCTAAGCGCCCCTAGATGCCAGGCTGTATATATTTACATTGGCTCAATCAAAGTTACCTGTATGAGGAGCTCCGCGGGAGTCGATCCTGCTTGCGGATGAGCTACGAACAAGTGCCGAATGCCAAGTTCCTCCGGCCTACAAGGATCGTTCCATGCTGTGCAGACTGAAGGGGCGCCTTAAGGATATAAGTTTAACGCACAAGCTTTCGAACGTCTGGGGGTCTAGTGGAGCTCTAAGAATCAGCACTTCAGCCTGAACGGGAAGTGTATATAACGTTTATCGCCGGTGAATTGGTGAAGACGCGGTCGTGCCTCTCTGTCAAGTGCTTCGGCTAACGCTGAAACTGAAGTCTGTTGTTCTTCACAGTCCCTGAGGCCGTCGCGGAC